ACAACCAACCAACAAAACAGCAAAAGATAGGAAGGTATGCCATAGCTCTAACTTAGCTGCCTTACTGCTTCTTTGTGAATCAAAATATTTTCTCTTAAGCCAGAAATATTTGGCTTGTTGTATAACTGCTTAGCTTCAGTACAATGTCCCAAAGTAGAGGGTGTTAGTGCTATTTTAATCCCCAGCTTGGCATTAATCCTGCCACACCCACAGCATACGGATGACAGGGCAATGAGATCCTGTATGCCTACATGCTGCACATGGCAATTTCCAGAAAATGCAGAAGAGCTTTAATCCTCAGGGCTGGCCAAGTTATTCTTAGCACAAGATCCAGTGGAAGAGAGGATGGATGTGACTAGATGACATCCCTGCAGCCCTGAGGCTCCAGCCTCTTCTGTGTTGTGCTGGTCTGTATCAGTGCTCAGCAGGGCTGAGCGCATGCAGCTCATCCCTTCGAGTTCACCTCCACAGATGCAGGGCTGTGCAACTCCTGTGAGATGTAGGTGTACTGAAACATGGAAATGGTACATCAGAGAACTGTTGAAGCCTAGATCCATCCCCAAACCCAAGGCCTGCATCTCCTTTATGTCTATTAATGCCTTGGAGCACATTGCATGGTCTGGAGTAGATGATTCCTTTCGAATGCACTTTTTTTTTTTTTCCTGATCCTTCTGATTTCTTATAGAACCAGAAGTTTCTCCTCAAAATACAGATATAATTTCAGACCCTTTGGCCGCTTTTCCAGCCTCCATTAGTGCTTCACAATCCCAAGCAAAGCATGGTTGCTTTAGTACAGTCAATGGACTGCAAAATTTCATCATTTAATCTACTCTCTTTCAGTCATGCAATTCCCCATCTAGAGCCCTACCTATCTAATAGGCATATATTCATCAGTGTCCTGGTCCCATCTCTTCTGGTAACAGCAATAGATGTGGCATGTGGATCAGACACTGGATGCTCATTGTGCAGGGAGGAGCATGGAGACAATGCCAGTCACCTGAAATGCAGAGTGGGAGAGCTGCAGGATGTTGAACATTTCCCATCTCTTGGATGTTTTCTCTTAGATGTATTGTGAGATGTCATCGATTCAACTCTTCTTATACAGATTAGTATAAAAAAAAAAATCCTGTTTAAATACCTTGAGAACACCTCCTCAGCTGGCTCATCATTACCTATTGTGAGACATTTCCAAAAAAAAGCACATTTCACTGTGTGGGTAAGGAATATGTCCAGTGGTATGAACAAAAGGTGCCAAAACACAAGTCTGCATAATAGACCAAACTGAGGAGTATGCCTGTCCACCTGTGTTGTTTTCCAGCAGCAAACCACCAGCTTCAAACCTGCCCAGGTGACAAAAATAAATAAAATAAAATAAAATAAAATAAAATAAAATAAAATAAAATAAAATAAAATAAAATAAAATAAAATAAAATAAAATAAAATAAAATAAAATAAAATAAAATAAAATAAAATAAAATAAAATAAAATAAAATGCAGGGGTGACAGGGCAGACATGTTCCCACAGCAGCTGGAGGCCATGAGCCCTATTGCTGAAAGCAAAGTTCCCCGCCACAGTGCTGGGAGCTTCCTAGCAAAAAGCCCTTGCTCTTTCAGCTGTAATTACGCAAATCCCTTTGACAAGTTTGTGTCAAAACCATTGGTCAAGAACCAGTATTAATGAGACCTAATCCACACTTCGGAGGCACCAGAACATAACACCACAGCTCAGGGGGTTTAAGGCAGCAGAGTGCACGTCTCAGCAAGGCTTATTTTTATCCACATGATTTTGAAGGTGCGTATGTGCAGAGAAAAAGAAGAGGGAAGAAAAAAGAAAATTAGCAGCTTTATGAATTTAACCCTTCCAAGGTACAGCTAACACACCAAGCTGCCTGTGAGGCTAAAACCTATTGTGGCTGTGCATAGCCAAAATGTGAGTACCCCCAAAAGTTTGTGTCTTTGAGAAGAAATGTTGAAATATCACTGAGGTGCTAAACAAGACAACTGTAAGTTCACCTATTTGCTTCTCCCAGAGCAGGCTGACACCTGGAAACTGCATGGGCAAAGGGTAAAATAAGCTACCTGGGTTATTTACTGTGGGAAGGCAAAGATTGGCAATACTCCAGCCCAGCCAGCCCAATCCATAAAAGAACAGTTTCCATGTTCTTCCACTGTACCATTACAAACACAGCCATCTGCTAGCAACAGTGGGAGGCCAGGAGGAGCAAGCAGCTGGCTGCTAAGTGCCCCAGGTTGTGGGCTCTCAGGAGTTAAAGCAACCAGAGGGAACTTAAACAAAAATGAGACCAAAATAAAATAATAATAATAATAATAAAAAAGCAGGAGCTCTCACAACAAAAATGCAGTTCCAAAATTAATGAGATTTTGATAACCTCCTTAAAAATGGAATATTTCCATTTTAAAATGTACAAAGACTAAAATCTTCATAAATATCCTATTAAGAAACTTCTGCTGCTGTTTTAGAGTTTCAATTGAAATACAGTGCATGAAGGTTGCCATAGCTACAAGCAAATTTTTAAATAACTGTTTTTCATCAGAACAGCTGCAGCATCATGCAGAACGGAGGGTGAAGTGGGGAAGCTGAAAGGAGTCTGACCAACTTCAAGCTCCTAATCAGGCAACTCTGAGATCTTCACAAACACAGCCTAGAAACTTTTAATATGCTTTCTGCTTTTTTAAGAAAATATTGCCCTTCATTATTTGGCAGCACCCCAGCAAATGCTGTCAGCGCTGCATGAAATCTCAGTCAAGAGAAGAGCTTTGTTTTCACGCTGGAAAAGATAAAAATTTCCACTGCAAAAGCCCAGACACTGAAGGCTGGAGATCTGCTCTGGAGGGCTTTCTGCATGAACCGATGGATTGGCAGCAACATGCCCCAAAAAGCCACAACAGCTGCAGATCTCTGTATCCAGGAACAACCTATCCTAGTCTGAGTTTGTAAAAGAGAACAAAGAAAGGAGGGAATGTGGAAAAACAAGCAAGGTGTCAAATGCTAGCAGGATGCTTTTGAAGTGGGGCTGTGGTTTAGGTGGTCCTGCCTCCTGTGGTGCTCATGATTCGTGGGCATCAGGAGGCATTTCCCTCTCTCGCAAGGTCTCTCACCAGCAGGAATAGGCAGAGCAAATTTCTGAGCAGCAGTACAAGCTAAAACTGGACATCCGTGTGCATCTATTCAGAGGTGGGCCAGGCTATGGAAAGCATCAATGGTCTTTACATTCAAGCCTTTCATCAGTGATATTAACTATGGCAAAATTCCTAGAAAACTTCAGATAGATTCATGTTGTATCCTCAGCCAAGTATGTCCCTGTGTCTCAGTCTATAAAATGAGAATAAATAAAGAATAAAATTTCTCACAGGAGTACAAGGAGACGCAAGCACAATAGTAATTGAATTTATATCTATAGAGAGTGCAAATGCATGGCTGTTTTTTTCCCTAAACAAATTAATGACCATTATTTCATACATTCTTATGAATCTGCATGAATCATCCTGGTAAAGACTATTCTTCTACAAATTGATTCATTTGCCTGTGATCTTCTCCTAAGAGACACCTGCACAGCACTCTTCAGGCTCTGCCCGCTCCTTCAGCAGCACCATGCAACTAAGGGCTCTGCTGCCATGCCCATTCCTGTACGGCCACAGAGGTGTATGGGTAAGCAGCAGATACTAACGCATCCAGACAAATCTAATGGGCAACTTCTGTTTATTTTAAATCTGATTTTAAAGTTTCCTTGTATCTTGAAATGAAACAGCCACCTTTCCCAATGGTTTTACATGTGCTTGGTCCAAAACGTACAGTATTTTCAACAGGTGGTAAACAACAAAGCTGGGGAGGGAGAAGGGAGGTAAAATAAAGACAGAGGAAAATAAATGTGAGAAAAGTTGGAAAAAGCCTGAAAATAAAATATGAAAAATTGAAGTCAGGTTCTTCTTTTCAGGTTCTTTTAACAACTTACATTATTTGACCATTTCCAAATACTACCCTTAAATGCCGAGGCAGTGTAAGACCTACCTTTAGCACAGAAAAGGAAAAAAGGTGGAACCTGTCCCTCACGTTGGAAGTTGGACGGTTAGTGGCAGCCAGCAGCATCTCAGTGCCACAGCACGTTTCAGCTGCCTGTGCCCAGCTCCTCCCCAGCTCAGCAGTGAGCGTACAGAAAGTGGAAAGTAAGGGTGAACACCAAAGAGACAATCCACCAAATATCTTTCCAAGTAACTCTCACCTAATGTAAACTGAAAGAGCACCTCCTTGCCAGTGCAAAAATAGGCTGGTGGAGCATCATGAGGGATGCCAGCGAGCAGAGCTTTCTGGACTTGAGTACATGCACCCTGTCAAAGGGAGAGACCTTCCAGTCAGCTTTTCTGAGGTAGAGCTGTTTTGTTTTGTTTTGTTTGTTAAGAAACAGAGGATTAAAAAAAAAAAAAAACCTGCTATATGGTTGGACTGCCAGAATAGCAGATTGTGAATCACTGAAAACTGGTGACCTTAGCCAGCATATTACAACTCCACGGCTTTTAAGTACTGCTGTTTCTTTACCAAGGCAGAAGAGAAGCTTGTCAAAGCTGTGGTTTCCATATATACACATGCACACATTAAAGTGCTATTTCTCTCGGCTGTGCAGACATCAGGATTACTGAACCTGACATAAACTCATCATTTTCCTGGAAGCAAAAGAGGATGCTAGCCAAAAAAAAGATGAACTGCAGTTGGCAACAGCTACCTCATCTTGGGGTACCAAAGGGTAGCAAGCAAAGCCAGCTCTAGAGGAGTGTGCAATGTGCAGTCACTCATTTGAAAAGGCCTAAGATCATTTGCTGAGCATAAACACCTGCCTGCAGCCTGCACTCACTCCTCTCTCATCAGCATTCACCAGACAAGGCATGCACAGCATCAAGAAGAAAGGCAGAGGCTTAAGGTGATGGGGTGGGAGGCAGCAAAAGGGAGAGGTGGCTGATGCCACAGGACACTTTTCTCACCTTACCTGCAATGCAAAACATGTGAGCACCTCCAGCCCTGAGTTACTGCATGCAGCAGCAGCTCCTAGCTATCTGGCTGCCTCTCTCTCCATGTTGCTCCACCTTTTGTTTCCATTCTGCTGTTGAAGCAGCACACGAGCCCATCCAGCATTTTTGTAATTTTTTTTCCCCACCAGATTCAAGCTACCCTGAAGCGGGAGTCCTGAGGAATAAGCTACAAAAATAAATAAATAAAATAAAAATCCCACAAGATATTTGAGGGAAATCTCAGGAGAGATGCCCCAGAGGAGGCAGGGATCACCAAGTGGGGACAGAGCTTTGGCTGAGGGAGAGGGAGGCATAATGTGACCTTGCATGCTCGGAATAGCAGACGAAGGGTGGAGGTGTTTGTCTTAATTTGTTTGTTGGGAATAGAAAGCAGAAAGCCACAACTGAAATGCAACAGGCATGCAGCAGAATTTAGGGTTCCTCACTTTAAGGGTCTGGACTCTCCGTTTATTCATCTGCAAAATGCAGGTGGTCAGGCTGCTCTGATACAGCTGCAGCAGGAGAACTCAGCCCATTGCTTTATTCAGAACAAAATACACAGACTAAGATCTGTGAGTATGCACCAGAAGGTGGCATAGATCAGCTTGAAAAAGATACAGAGAGGGGTAATGCCTTTAGTAAAAGCTTTACTTGCCCCCAAATCAAGTTTCAAATCTACAGCTGTAGTAACAAATACAACTGAATTTACCTGAATGATTCTGCAAAGAGAAAAAAAATAAAATGAAAAATCAAAATTTCACTCTGAAATTAAATATTTAGAGGCCTAGATTGAAGAGATCAGTTTCTTAAGTCAGGGAGCGGAAGCTAAGAGAATCCTTCAGCAGAGATGCCACTGTGAGAGCCGTGAACCTGGTGCTGCTGGTGTTCGTGCTCAGAAGTGGCAAATTCAGCAAGGATTCCCCTCAGTCAGCTCACACACCCGAGGGCATATCGGGAACTGAATCAGAGTCGCCTTCAGCACTGTGACACAGCTGCAGCACTGTGGGGAGCTGGGCAGCCTGGGGCTGCCTGCAGTCCATTGGGTTACAGCAGAGCAGGATCAGTGCATGCATTGCAAGACAGCACAGGTAGACAGGCATAAGGCACATTGACTTGGATCTGCATGTTAAAAATACTTTTAATTCTGCTGGAAAGATGCAGTGCTGTCAGCACAGCTTGGGACTTGAAAGCTTAATTGTCTGGTTTAACAAAAAGAAGCAGAAATATCCAGAAAGAAAATGCCTTGTCATGTAGGGCAAGCAAGATGCAAAAGTAACTGCAGTAGCCTGCAGCAAGGGAAGAGCACACTGAGTGGTCACACCAAGGCTGAACAGCAGGCGTGCTTCTGCTTTCAAAACAGCCCTGTCCATGACTGCTGCAGTCTGTCCTCCCTTGGGCAGCAGCTGTGGAGCACACAAAACACCTGAGAGCTTTGAGAAGAAACAGGCTTGAGAGTCACTAACTCTGGGAACAGCTCTTCCCTTGCCCAGTTGCCACATGAACAGGTATGATCAGAACACCTTCTAGCTCAGAACACAAATACGAATTTTTCATTCCACATGGGCCGCACAACTCTTTCCTACATACAAGCCCAATATTCACGGAGAGCTGGAGTTCAAAAGCTGGACAGAAGTTTCAAGACTTTCAGCTAGACACAGGCAGCACTATTGTTAGTTCACAACTGTAAACTTTTGAGCAAAAACAGCATTACTTACTCTGTGTTTTGAGGACTGCCCTTGGAGAGAGAGAACTGCAAAACTCCCGTACCAAAGACCATCTTGATTTCAGCAGGGGCCTTGCGAGGATGCCATCACATATACATCACCTCTGCTGCATCACTGCCTGGAGGCTGGGCTTTGCAGTGGGGAAGCCAATGCAGTTTTGTGCCTGCAGCTGCCTAACATCCACCACACTGCCTGCTTTGAGTTCTGTGCAGCTGCTGCTTTGCTCTCTCATCTTTTGCAGATTCTGCTAACTATGACCTCCAATTTCATTTCCTCTTCCTGACAGGGAAGATGGCAGAAATGAAACTTCAACATTCTCCTTTTCTTTGTGCGTTTCTCCCTCTTCTTGTTTAATAGATATTGTCCCAGCAGGAGCTGGTGGAGCTGGTAGGCTTTTCCAAGAACCATCATCTCATGACTGGTGAGCATAGTATATTTCAGGCAGACACAAAGAAACTCTTCAACCCCTAGAATACAAATTTATAACAAAAAGCACATCAGTACAAAGGTACATCTGTATCCACAGGCAACAGTGATTATATCTGATTATTTTTAGCATAAATACATTTTTTGAATAAAAGGCGCATGACAGTTTTAAACTACTTAGCTGAATGCGCTCCTCCTGCACCTGTGGGATTTTAATATCCCTGTGCTTTTTATCCCTGATCCATTTTTTATACCTGATCAATTTTACTGAGTTTGAAAACATAATTTAGGAAGGGGTTATTATTGCAGGAAACAGGTAGAAAGCTCATTGGTAATTATACTTCTTCACATGTTTGGAGACCACAGGTTATTTTTCTGGTGCCTGAAAGGAAAAAAAAAAAAAATCGAACGTAGATCTCCCGAGAAAGAATCATGATGTTTACCAGCCCATGGTTTGAGTGAATGTACTTTCTAGGGTATACTTGGCACTGTCAAGCCTTCAAGCAGCACATGCATTGCCACCACTGATTACAGTAGAAGCTCCCTAACCCAAGCACTTTGGGAGCATATAACCATCCTCAGGAAAGAAAAACTGTGTTTATGCAAGGGTGCTGATGCAAATGAATATTCTTTTGTCACAGCTGTGACAATTTAATTTTATTTTTAGCTGGAAATGGGTATTTGGCATAGGACAAAACAAAAGAAACAAACTGCACAGCTGTGAGCCTAGGCAGGAGGCCACAGCAGACCAGCAGCTGGCAGACCTGGTGGGTCCAGCATGTTGCTGCACACCAGAGACACCTTTAGCATCACTGCACCACCTCACAATATTTGGGGACCATAATTCGTTCAAGATTATCTCAGTAATTTGTATGCAACCTTGATTAAACTGAGAAGAAATGATCAAATTAAGCAGCAAGCAGCACCACAATCAGCTAAGAAAGGGTTCAGTCATTATACAGCTACTTAACATGAGAGTGCCCGGCCTTTGCAGTGAAACCTCCTGTCAGAATGATTCACATCAGTTATTCTTTCTCTTTCCTATTTGCTGTTATCACCGTTCGGAAGAGTCAGCGCATGATCAAGTGCTTCTTTGATCTCCAGTGTATGTGAAGACAGAAATATCCAAGCTGAAGAACTGAGCCCCATGGGTCTGACAGAGGATTCAATTACAACCCATGGAATTCAGTTCTCAAAGCTGAGAATACACGACATTCATTTCAAGGCCGTTCTGACACGCAGCAGTATCTCATACTCCTGCTTTCTCTTCCCAGTGCCTGGCTTTCCTCCAGGTGCTGTAAAACAGAAGAGTGAAATCTTCGCTGCAGCCAAAGTTAACTCTATCCAGACAATAGGTCAGATGCAGAATAATAGCTTGAAGACATATATATCGAGAAAAGAGCTATTTTATGTTTTCTTTTGGCACCAGAAGCAGCCACATACATAGACAGAAGGTGCCCTAACACATAGCAGAAGTCCTAGTAATAAAAAAATGAAATTTATAGCTAAGTAGTACAACAATACAACACCCAGCGCTTTTCTGGGAGCCTTTGTTTGAGAATTTCAAAGGGGTAAGTTACACATTTCCTTTTCCTTTTTTATTAAAGTAAGACAACACAGACAGAGAAGTCCAGAGTCACACAGAAATCTCTGTTAATAAAATAAACCTTCCAGAAGTTCAGAAGAACAAGCTCGGACACGGGTGCAACGCTGCAGAGTCATCGATGTCTGGGTGGCAAAAAGGCAAGCAGGAGGCCTCAGTGCTGTCACGGTGCAATTGTGCTGTGACACAGCCTTGCCTGATGTGACAGCCTTGTCCCAGGGTGACAGCCTCACCCAAAGACAGGAGTTTTGGCCTGCATTTAAGATGCTGCTCAAGTGCACTGAAGATCAAAGCTGACATCCCAGCCTTGAAACACCTCATTATTTCTATACAAATGTAGGAGAAGTCACTGGTGTCAAACTTCATACCCCAAACAGAGTTTTTCAGGAAAAACAGATTGGGTGAGATGTTGGATAATGTACTCATCTCTTCAAAGGCTGTCATTAAGATGCTATGTCTGCACAGCACCACACACAAACTGTTCAGATTACAAAAAAAAAAATCAATTTCAGATTTATTTGGAACATTTTAAACCTATTTCTTTATGTTCCATTGAGATGAGGTGTCACAAAAAATCTCCTTAGGTTCAGTGAAAAGCAATATTTCATCTGAGATAAAATATTTGGATGTCAAGGTGTTTTCAGGTTAAATCTCTTACACTTGAAAACAAAATGTAAGCAAATTTACTTAACAGAAAACAAAATGTAAGCAAATTTACTTAACAGAATGATTCAAAGAGAAATTCAAAGAAAATGAATTTTGTTTTAGTACTGCTTTTTTAAATTACAAATAAGTATAATTTTTATAAGTGCAAATTTTTGAAATAAGAACATTGGAACAAAATTTTATCAAGTATCCAGGAATTTATAGCTTTTCCTTGAGAAAGTAATTTGATTCAAAGCTGCAAAGTATTTCCAATTTTTAGATTAGAAAAAGCCCAACTTTTTCCAACCAAAAAAAAAAAAAAAATTGCCCAGCAGTGACAGGAATTCAAAGCTCCCAGGAAGGCTCACCAGCCAGGCCATGACTGCCATGTAACTGCCTGAGCAGCCAGCTCTGCACAAATGTGAAAAACTTGTTCTTTGACAGCCCATCCTACAGCAATCACTATTGGCTTTCCTAAATCATTTAATTTAATTAGGAGCATCTCTTGAATTTATCTATAAAACCTTCACCTCAAATAAACAACAAACATCTAAGAAAATCGAAGCTAATAATTCTTGCTAACAGCCAGTGTCACTTTTTCAGCTAAATTGGTGCCACCCGCAGCCTGACGGGCAGAGCCTCAGCGCAGAGCATGGTGCTTGGCACCACATCCAACAGCTCAGCTTCTGTGGCATCCAACAGTGTGCCCGCGTCTTTACTGCTCTAATTGTTTTCTTAGTCTATTAAGCCAGTCAACCAAATAACAGAAATTAAAAATGTTTTCTTAACCATTTGTCTTTCTGAGAGGGAAACCTCCGAGCAAACATTTTTGCAAAGCAAGTGTCTTGTGGTACCCTCAGACCAGTTCGGCCCCCCTGTGACTCCATGGGACTTTATTAAAGAAAAAAATTAACAAAAGTAACTTCTTGTTAAGACCCTCAAGTACTATGCTGATTTATCTGCAACTTTGGAATAGGATACCATAGTGATAAATGTTGTTTGTCTGTTTTTTTGTGATTGGCACTGCTTGCTAAGAAGATCAGTTCTGATAAGCAAGATATTTGCCAGCAGCCCTCCTGTGGTAGTAACTCTTCCAATCTAAAACAAGAAAAAAATAACGAAATGACCATAAATAAAAACACAATATGGTAAAACAGAGAAAGGGTCAAAAAGAAGTGCCCTTGGGACAGATTCCAGAGCCTGTGTTCAACGCACGGCATTTCTGTGCAGCGCCCAGGAGAAGTTGGCATGGTGTGGTCAGCACACAGAGCCAGGAGACACCCAACTTTCACACCTGTTTGCATTGCACTAACCAATCAGACACTAAAGACACGAAAATGGTAAATCATCCTCTTCAAAACACAGTAAATGGACCTGAGGTAGCCCCAAGCAGGCAAATTCAAGTACTGCCTGCAGCTGTGCCCCAGCAGCCCTGGCCCAGGCTGTAAGGGCAGCTGGGCATTGGGTGTTCCCCATGCTCGGGCGAAGCTGAAATCACCTCTCCCACCCCTCAGGTGAATGGCTTGCCTTTCTAGAGAGCCAAGCATGGAGAGCAGATACCCCCAAAGCAGGGCTGCGGATGAGTACTTGTTCTAAGATTACCATCCCAGACTTGGGAACCTCCAATGCCTGCTGCTGTGGTGGGCAGCTCCACTCTGTCCCAAAGCTCTGCAGAGGGACTCGTCCCAAAGGTATCCTCAGGGAGGAGAGCCCAGCCAGGTTCCCTATCAGCACTGCCTGTGTCCTACTGAAATTCCTAAACAGCAGGTATGGACAGGTATATCTTCACAACTCCAGTAATTTTCAAGGTAAGTTGACTTAAAAGGGTTTTTATAATTAAGTAGGAGAAAAGGTCAAATTCTCTTTTAGTCTGCCTGCTGCATTTAATGCTGTCACACTGCGTTAGTTCTCTTTGATCTTAAAAATACATGATGCCTGTGTCAACGCGTTCTGCTTTGACCCATTATCAACTTCATGTGCACCATCCTCTGTCGTTTTAGTGTCAGTCCTGGAGGGTAGCCCACCCTCTGAGAATTCATTTGTTTAAGAATTAAATTCATGCTTTTGCAAACAAGAAGAAAGCTCATAAAAATTACACAGTTCTGCCTTTGCAAGAGCAGCAAGGAGCTGAGTCTCTCACCAGGCCATAAATCTACTTTTTTGAAAAAACATTATTGTTTCCTATTCCAGCAGGGTCACTTAGTACCTTACAACTTGGAGATCTTATTACAGTAGAAATTACCATCCCTAAAGGACAGATACTTAATAGGCAATCATCATATAAAGTTTTACTGCTACACCAAAAGGCAAATCTTTTTAGAGTGATTAAGTAATGTTAAGTGCCTGAAGACTATTCTTCCATAAGTTTCCTTTTGTATTAAATATGTTTTAACAGGAAATGAACATAATGATCCTAAAGCCATCAAGTTAATGGAATGTGTAAATTCTCTGCATTTTCCTTACCATCCTGTATTTTTATTCTCCATGTTGCCATTGCTACCTTTCTTTCTAATACATCTACGTTTGTCTGAACAAACATTGAGGAGTGAGATTTTAATGCTTAACCAATGACCTACCGCAGCTTCTCATGAAATCCAGATACTATTTAGATGAGCTCATCATGGGCGCTAATTAATTAACACTGATGGGGAACTTGAAATAAAATATGAATATGGTCACATTTCATTAGGAACATAATGCATCTTCTTGACCCTTACTTAAATACATTTTTCCCACAGCTAGTGGAAAAACACGCATCTCACAGCCATGCTGACATCTGGCTAGTTGAAGCAAGAGGGCAAAACGCTGGGCAGACCTCACTCAGCCTGCATGACAGCCCAGCTGTGTAGCAGCCTCACACTGGCTGGCACGTTTGTTTGTAGTTCACAGGTCAGCAAGAAACTACTGCTCAGCATGATGAACCTAGAGCTCACATTTAAAACCTCGTCTGTTAATCTTTAAACCTCTGATCCGACTCTTCCTGGCTTCTCCATTTAAAAAAAAAAAAAAAAAAAAAAAAAGAAAAACAATAAATTATTCAATTTTCCTCTTTCCTGAACTTTCACAGAGAGGAAGAGTTCCCTGACCCCATGCTTCCCGTGGTAATTCTGATTTCTTCCCCACGTGCCTGCTTCATAGGAGGTGCACGACGTGCTGGGCTCCTCTCAGGTTACAGGACAGGCACCACAGCAATCAGGCCTTTTCTACACTGGCCGGGTTTTCTTCCATCATTCACACTGCCCGTGGAGCTGCTCTGTTCACAAAGTAAGGATCAGCAAGGAGGTCCTGGCACAGCTGCTTAGGTACAAGGCAAACACCTCCTATACCTTAATACACCTTCAGTTTTGTTAATCCTTTTCAGTAAAGCTAATATCCATGTTTGCAGGCAAAGAGTGCTCACATGTAGAGAAGCCATAAGTGTTTCCTAGTTTTATAAAAATCACGTTCAATACTGAAAAAATGCAAGAGCAAACCTTTGGTGCAATTGCAAAGAAAAGGCCCACCTAAGCTTTGCTCTTGAGCTAAACAGTTCTAATACCAGGTCACATCACAGAGATACACTAGTGCTAAACACACCCTGCTCCAAGATTACTTCCTGGACTCTCACCACGCTCGTGAAGACTATCAGCAATGTCAGATGAGGAACTCCCTGTAGGTACTCCTTCTCTTGAACCATTCAAGATGGTAAATGCAGGTCCACCATGCCTTCACAGCCCAGAAACTATAGAGACATTTTCATTGTTCCCCCACCAAACAAATAAAAATTAAAAAAAAATCGGAAATTGTTAATTTGTGTTTGAAACAAACAAACAAAAAAATCAGTTTCATGAAGAAATCAGTATTGGCCCACACACATATTTTGGTCTTGGCAAAAGGAACTGCATTTGTTCCCAAAATGCATTCTGAAACTCCCAGTTGTTTTCTGGATGCATTTTTAATTTCAAGCAGTAGTTATATTTCTGCTGCCAATGCCCAAGTCACAAAAAACAAACATTCAATTTCCTCCCTTGTAGAATTATTCCACCCTGCTTATCTGGGGGTTCAGTTCTGTTGTCTCCATTTTAATCACATTTTCCAACAACACAGTGCTTTGTGCATCAGACCATTTTCCTTTATGAAAGATAAAAATGATTGCATATTCCATTTCATTTTTTTGACCTAAAACTGACATTTTTTGCATTTTTTCAGTAATTTAAAGAGAAAGCACATGGCAAAGCACATAAATCACTATGAAAAACATATATTCACACTTAGACTGCCATGTATGACCACTTAGCTGCTTAAAACAATAATATGGATCATATCATAAAAAAATTATTTCATATTTTTAACTTTCTTGCCATCAGCAATAATTACAAAACCTTCTAAAAGTAGGTATTTTAGTTATCTGTATAGCGTACAGTTACATTTATAGCAAGCCACAGTAGGTCACAGCTCTATATGGAACACAATTTCAGCAAGTTTTTTGTACTGAAAAATGCAGACATCTATGTGGTCCAAAATTCTTTTTACATATTCTCAGATGACAGGAGGAAACACAGCGCAGGGAATGTAAACACTCTAAAACATGCATTTTTTACACTGACACAACTGCAGTAACTGCTGTACTGACTGACACTACCCAGATGTTGCAAGAAACAGCAGGGCCTGCCAGAAAGGCAGTTTTCAGCATGCTAACAAGGGTAATGAGAATTGAGAAGTTAAAAGCCCTTGCAAATCTGTGAAACTCCATCCCTATTCATTTCTTCTAATTTCAGCAGTAAGTTTTTCCTCTAAAGCAGCAGAACATTTCATGTCAGTGACTGACAGTGAGGGTGAAGGAAAAGGCCTACCTCTTTGAATGTGGAGTTGTTCCCAAATCCAACAACACTTTCTTCCTCAGTTTGGATATCTGACCACCGCACACGCACGTCACAGGCACTGGAAGTGACACACATGCTGTCTCCCAACACGTGAAAATGCAGGGTGGTACTATGAACTGCTCTGCTGAACCAATTCCTGATAAAAGTAGCGGAACCGAGAGCTTGAAATGACTGGTCAAGCCATACACTTCAGACGTCACGTAAACATCCAAAAATATAGGAAGAGGGGGAAAAAGTAAACAGGAAAAAGTAGATGGCCATTGCTCGCTCCCTTCCAGTTGCCACATTTTTAATAAAAAGAACTGGCAATGATTCAACTGTTGAAATTGCACAGATCTTTGTCACTGCATAACTACTATGCTATGTATTACTAACCCAAAATGATTAGGTTCTATGCAAACAGTTAAAAAAACAGGCAAACATTAATCAACTTTTTAGTAACCCTCCCATTATTTCAAAAAGGAATGTGATGATCATCCAGCAAGAATTTTATTCGGAAAAGCACGTTATAATAATTATGTTAGCAATCCATTAGTGGCCAGAGATAATTTTTGATTAAAACAGGTTCAGCATATAAATGCTTAAAATATAAAAGATTGCTGTATTTATATTTCCTATTATAACTATACCATAGTTACTGAAAATAAAGTAGTCTCTGAAGAGCAAACATGCTTTCAATTCATTCATAGCCCATTTTGATATTAATTCACTGAAATCAACTAGTATAATATTAGAACAATGAAACAGCTCAACTACTGGGGAAACTGGCAACTGTTATTTCAGAGAAAGGTGCACGAGAGTTAATAAAATAGCCTGAGAGCACTGCATCACCACCCAGTGAAGGCACCCTAGCCACTGCAGGCTAGGTAGATCTGTTAAGCAGCCTGTGGGCTGCAGACCACTGCTTTCTGTCAGACACCAGGAACTGCTCTGTGAACGAGCTCATTTAGAAGATTTAAAAAAAAATAAAAAAATTCTTCTATTCCCAGCCTGCTGGCAGAGGCAGCAGTGCTGGCAGACAGAGCCGGGAGCCGGTTTCTGGATGCTGCCAGTGACTGCCTGCAGGTGCAGACAGCTCCTTGTTGGGCATGGGAAATGGTCCAGGAGTGTTTTTTTCAGAAAGGCTCCATTAGAAAAGGCTGAGAACCACTGATACAGACAGCCTCCGGGGAGCGAAGCTGCCCTCCTCTGGGATATGCTTGCTGGCTCGCCAGAATTTTAAGGCTGGCTCCCCTTGAACTCACCAGAGCTGGTTTTAAAGAAAATAATTCTAGGTGCCATTCAGATTCAGCATAATCGTCTCTCGAATATTTAGCCAAGTATGTTGACTACTACAAAGGATTACAGTGAAAAGTAAAGACGTTCTTTGATGTGTACACAGACTTAACATCCAATCTCTCAAGTTGCCAGTGGAGTCTTGGATATTCTGCATGATCAAAGCCTCCTAACCCCATATGCAGCTTTGAAACAGTTTTTAGCAGCTGCCATTTTCCAGGCTTCTGCTTAATGAATCCCCCCAAGAAGGCCGTGGGCCACCATGGACACATTTGCGACCTCTGTCCTGGCAACATATCCCCACTGCAGCCTTGTCCTGCTGTCCTAGCAGTCCTCACATCCTGTTCCTCCGAAGCTCTGGGCTCTGCTGTCCAACACAAAACTGCTCGGAGCACCTGAAGCAAATTGAGATGGAGGACTGATACCTGAAACACTGCAGCAAAGAGAGTAGCTGCAGCATTGCTCATGACGCTAGGGAATTTGTTCAAAAACCTTCCACAAAATCTATTTCAATAATGAAAGC